AGGCACAGCCATATCTCATTTATCTTGATATCCTCTGAAGCACCCAGCCAAGGGCCTGACACTTGGTCAATTCTTGTGCTTTCATTGCCTGAAAGTACGTGCGGGCACACGGGCCTCCCCAATGGTGAGCATCTGTGGGCTGCTAAGCGTTGAGGACTTATTTCTAAGGCGGACTGTAACTTAACAACAAAAAGTTCTAAAAACAAATTCTGTACTTGTGAAAGATGCCACCTGGTCTGCCTCAGGGGCTGAAATCCTCTTTTTATGCACCGAGTGGGAACAGCACAGGGAGTGACAAGCTGGCTTTCTTCAAACCACTCCCACCAACGGGCTCAAGCCAAGAAACAGGCCCACACCTTTCGGGAAAGAGAAGTGCCCGTTTCACCTCTGGTGTCGCTGCTGGTACTGCCAACAGTCTGAGAAGGAGGGAAAGGGAGAGCAGGTTTGGTGCCAGGTCTGATGATGTAACCTTGCAAGGCCAGCTTGTCTGCCAGGAAAAAAAAGGCAACCGGCTTAGAAACTAGGGTTTTTTTTTCCCCCCTCCCTTAATATTCAACTGAAGTCTATTTTGCATAACTGACCACTAGCTGGTTCTGTTTTGTTTAATGAACTGCACTTAGTGTCTCATTTACCTGACTGGTTTGGGTTCCTTGGAAAACAAATGTATAGAGAGCCTGAAATAAGTGTATTTCATAAATGTCCCGTGTGCAAGAAGAATGCGCAGTTCTCCGAAGCTTTACTTTGCAAGCCATACACATGCACAGTGGGAGACCAGGAATAACATACATCTAAACACCATAAAGGCGCACAGTCAGGCTCCAGTGTCGCCAGAAACACCAGAAACTCTTCCAGGATCCTGGGCAAAAAGACAGACTTCTGAAGTGGGATTATATTTTAGAGCTTCATTCATTATAATACACTTGGGAGTTTTCAACCCCATGTCTCTGACAGATGTTCCCTTTTGTGGGGATTGTCTAATTTGAGGACATTTGGTAACCATGTCCCTAGAAATCTTTAGGGTACAGCAAATTGATCCCTCTTCCCACATGTGAAGACAAGACCCAAAGGAGCCTCTTCCTATTTCTAGGACTAGTTAGTGTAAGCATAACATTCCTGCCCACTGCATGGACAACGTAGGGCAGAGAAACATTAGCCAGACTGAAATGAGGTATCTCCCAGGCTCAAGATACCTTCCCATGCCCATGGAGAGCAGAGAGAGGGAATGCAAGTCTTTTCTTGCCAATTTTCACCTAATGTGGTTCAGGCCGTTGATCTACGTTATCACCGACCCACACTGATCAGGCCTGGACCCCTGCCTGTCAAATGCACTGCATGGGGCTTGGAACTTCCTAGAAAGAGCCATAGGAAAAGCCAAAAAGAACACAAGCCTCAGCTTAGGGCAAGCATCCGGCACTGGCTTTGGGCGGGGCCACATGGGATGCTTTCCCCCTGACTCCTGAGAGCACTCTCCAAGTCTGAGTCTATGATCAGTGCTTGGATGGCTCCAAGCTGACAGGAGAGTATGAAACAGAGAAAACAAATGAGACCTTAACACAGTATCAAAGGCCAGTACCAACCTCTCCTCATTCAGTTCTTAAAATCTATCCTAGAGGGCGCCTGGGTGGCTCAGATGGTTAGGCGTCTGCCTTCGGCTCAGGTCGTGATCCCGGGGTCCTGGGATCGAGTCCCGCATCGGGCTCTCTGGTCCTTGGGAGCCTGCTTCTCCCTCTGCCTCTCTCTCTCTCTGTCTCTCATGAATAAATAAATAATAAAAAAAATCTTAAAAAAAAAAAAAATCTATCCTAGAACCTTGCCCTTACTGAAATGACATTACCTCCGTTCTATACACTGAACTCTGCATGAGTTAACCAAAGATATTAATAACTGTAGTAACTATGTAAGCCCTTAGAAAGTCATACCACAAATTTGGCCAATTTCCATTTTAACCTTTTTTCTGAAACCTCATTTTTATTTTATTTTTTTTTAATTTGTTTTTAAGATTTATTTTTTTTTTTTTAAGATTTTATTTATTTATATGACAGACAGATACAGCGAGAGAGGGAACACAAGCAGGGGGAGCGGGAGAGGGAGAAGCAGGCTTCCCGCGGAGCAGGGACCCGATGCAGGGCTCGATCCCAGGACCCCGGGACCATGACCTGAGCCGAAGGCAGACGCGTACGACTGAGCCACCCAGGCGCCCCAAGATTTATTTATTTGAAAGAGAGAGAGAGAGAGCACATGAGAAGGGGGAGGGTCAGAGGGAGAAGCAGACCCCCCGCTGAGCAAGGAGCCCGATGCAGGACTCGATCCCGGGACTCCAGGATCATGACCTGAGCCGAAGGCAGTCACCTAACCAACTGAGCCACCCAGGCGCCCCATTGAAACCTCATTTTTAAAACTTCTACTCAAGGACGTAAGAACTTTTGGCAGTTTTCACTGGTATTACAAAGGCAGTTCTAGTAAGTGAATCTGTATCAACCAAGAAAGATGTAAGACCCCTCCAGTGCAGCAGAGGGGTAAGAATTTTTTATTGACCCATTATACTGCCAACCAGGCTCCTAGTCCCCCTGCACTGCATTTCTGCAAGACATTACCATAATGAAAAGACTTGTTCCTGCCCTGGAGTAGCTTGCAATTTAGTAAAAGATGGGAAAACAAATACACATCACTAACTAAATCTGTGATGAGTAGATTCTAATTGACACAAATTCAATATTAAAAGAGTCAGGGAATGGCTAGAGAAGGCAGCCCAATGGTGCTCAGGAGAAATGGTAGAGACAGGACTTGGAAAGGTCTATTTCAACAGGAAAAGGGTATTAGAGAAGGCACTGACTGCACACGGAGGTAACAGCTTTAGCAAAGGCACATGGGCAAGAGCACACAGGTAAATTAAGAAACGTTACGGTGATGGGAGTCTGGCTAAATGACAGGCTACTGGAGGGAAAAGTGTAAGAAACTGACCTGGAAAAGTAAGATGCAGCCAGTTCTTAACATGAAAAAAGAGGGAGGACATGTAGAAAGCTAGATTTTAGAGGAAATAACTTTTCAAATATAGCCTTCACTGATAATTTGTCACATCGTATCTCAGATTTTTAGAGGGAGAAATATTTTAATAGCAAGTTTATTTGCAAACCAGGTGTAGTAACTTCAAAGGAAAATAACGTGGGTGCTGAGAAAATCATTCTTCTGGGCTGGCAAATTCCTGTCTACAGCTTAACTAATAATATTCTTATTACCTACATCTTGCAATGGTTTCATTGAGATCCCTCTTTTCTCATCACCAACATACCTTCTTAATTCATCGCGTATGTACAGAGTGACGACTTAGAACTAGTATCTGCTCACTTATTTACCCATCCTCTCCTTTTCTGCCCCAACTTATCCTAACCACTCACTCCCTCATGCATTCTTCTCCCACGAGCACTATCGATAACAACAACCTTAATAGCTCCCACGAGCTATAGTACCAGGCACGGCAATTAATGCAATAAGAACAGTGCTTAATATACTCCTCAAAATTCCACTATAAAATAGGTATGACTAGCCCCATTTTGAAGCAAGTTCAAAGACGTTAAAGATTTTACCAACTGGTAAGTGGCAGGACCCGGGTTTAAAGCAGATATGCTCACCCCGAGAGCCCAGGCCTATTTATTACCGGTTCATCATACTGCCTCCAAAACTCTTTGGCGTCTTTACCGATATGGGTTAGTACTTTCAATTAAAAATTAAAGCATTCAGTGAACTGTGTGCTACTGTAAAATCCTGTCCTAGGTGCTCTCCGCGGTATACAAATAAATGACAGAATGCTTGGGACACCTGGGTCGCTCAGTCGGTTAGGTGTCTGCCTTCGGCTCAGGTCATGATCCCAGGGTCCTGGGATCGAGTCCCGCATCAGGCTCACTACTCTGCGGGGAGCCTGCTTCTCCCTCTGCCTCTGCCTCTCTCTCTCTCTGTCTCTCATGAATAAATAAATAAAATCTTTAAAAAAAAAAAATGACAGAATGCCTGTAGATTACTGATGCTCCTCGTCACCGCTACGTGACAATGAACACCTATGTCTTCTATCAGTGTGGAAGATGGTGTGTCCATGATTCACGAAGTTGAACAACCAGGGCCAGAGGGAGTAAAAATGACTCAGGATATGAATGCTGGATTGTGACCATACCTCACAGACAGAAATCAGCCAACCCTGACTGACTGAGATTTTTAATCATACATTTCAAATCAGAATCTGTAAAAACTCTCTCTGTCGATGGAAAATCTGTCCTGTCAGAAGTTCCCAACCAAATCTGCTTACAATCTATTTTCAATAAGCCTCAGCTTCCTTTGAAGTAGAACAAGCTTCTGAAGCATTTCAGCTAACAATAAGCACATTGTGACGCTAGCCCTCGTAAAATTCATTACCAACGAGTAAAGTTACTTGGTAAAACACAAATGTGGTATATCAAACTACTTGTACCCTAGAGCCTGAAAGTTGTGTAAAATTATATAGTGCTATTCAGACACAGAAGGGAAATTCAAATGTGTCATCTTTTTAAGCTACCTGCTTTTAAGATCACCATTACTAACTTCCGAATAAGTTTTTGCTAATATTTTCAGGAGGCCAGTTACATTTTTACAAATAACTAAAACTTACAAAAATATAAGAAATTGGATAGGACGCTGTTGAGCAGTCCTCTTTAGGCTATAACCATATGTACCCAGGGAACATTTGGAAGGAGTCGCAGTTTCGTATTCCGCCTACCTACTCATCTCTCTCTACAAAGGTACAGTATTCATATCACAAGTTGCACAACGAAAACTCATCCAGAGACTGCAGTGGCAAATACTAACTGCATTTACTCTGCAATCTAAACTCCTGACACAACTCATTTTTAAGAAAATGAAAGTCAATAAGGAGAAATCACCTTAAGAGTTCAAGAGTGGCAAAATTATCAAGACATGTTTGGCTAACAAGGAGAAACACCAGGCTACATAAAATGAATGATGTTGATACTTACTGTTCAATTCGGGGTGACAAGTACAGCTTGGGATACACCTGAGTGGCTTCGGTGTCCTCAAAACTGACAGAAAGGAGGGCCACATCTTCTCCAGGGTCTTCATTTACATCCTTAAGCAGGGAGGGAAAAACACAATGTCATCAGTCCCTGCTCTCATAGCATCTTCCCGGGGCTGAGCTCACAGCCCACTGGCCCTGAGGCTAGAGCGTTTCCGGTACCTGGATTTGAATTTAGCAGCTCTGCGCATCCTTTGCCACGTGCCAATCACTTCCCTAGAGTGGTGGCTTTCAAACTTTCTGACCAGAGCCGACCATGGTGAGGAGAAGACTCCCACCTATCTCACTTGTACCCCCATTCCAAGAGGGGAAAAGTGAATCTGGCGGCAACCAAGAATTAGTCAAAAGCACAGTTAACAAATTGCAGTAAACATGTTGCTAATGATATATGTAATGTCTTATAATTTTTATAATGTATATATAAATGGCTTGTAATTTTCCTTTTATAGGAAGAACGGGAGATATGAACATGATTTATATCATAAGACAACAGAATCTTAAAATACCTTGTAATTTTATTATATATACCTTGATAGTATGTTGTAAGTTACTTAAATAGCAAAAATTCCCAAGAAACATATCGCTATGAACTGTGCCACCATAAAAGCAAATGGCAGGGGGTTACGTACACATTGACTTTGCCAAACAACTGCGCATGATTCATATATGAACCACAAGACACACGTATCTTAAAAGCCTGGTTATCAGAATATTATAGGACAAAAACACTGTTGATCCAAATACGTACCAAAAAAACATTGAGAGGTTAACAACCCATAATAAACTAAACTGGTAACGACAAAGCTAAACTTCCTGTAATTTATAATTTAAAAGCAAGAATAGTGATAATCGAATGTCATAACCAACTCAGGCCAACACTGATGAAGTGTCCTGAGTCAAAACTGGGATTTATAGGTTCGTGATTATTGCCAAGCACTGAATGTTTGCCAGACTTCTGAATAAAATACTGAGTTAGCATAAATTCTAGTAGCAAGATGGTTTTACTTTGTGAATACCATATTTTAGTAACCCTTAATCATTTTACTTGTGGTTGGTAGTGGCTCTAAGTCAAATATAAATTTTTTGAAAACTTAATAGGACTGCACATCTTTCACCCGTAAGGACTGGTAAGAACTGGCCTATAGTTCTGGATTGGTTCACGGGTCCTCTGGAGGGCCCACTTGCCATCCTAGGAGGGTCCCAATCTACACTGTAAGAATCACTGACCGTGAGCACTGAGATCCTCAGATACAGGGTTCTTGCTTCTGTCTAAAACTAACCTCACCCCTTCCTTTCCTGTACCGTGGGAAGCTGGTCATCACACTCGTCCAGCTCAGCTCTGACCTCATCCTCACTCTGCCTTCTATTGTGCCTACAGGATGCACGTGTGGCAAGGATACAAAGGGGCAAGAACCAGAAGTCTCTCCCATCTTAAAAAATAAAAACTTTAAAGGGGCATCTGGGTGGCTCAGTTGGTGGCTCAGTTGGTTAAAGTCTGTCTTTGGCTCAGGTCATGATCCCAGGGTCATGGAATCAAGTCCCGCTTCAGGCTTCCTGCTCAGTGGGGAATATGCTTCTCCCTCTCCCTCCACCTCTGCCGCTCCCCCTGCTCGTGCGCGCTCTCTCTCATAAATAAGTAAAATCTTTAAAACATAAAAAATAAAAATTCTAAAAAGAAAGAAAAGAATCATGCCAGTCTCTACACAGCATTCTCTCCCATCTCTCTCCTCTCCTTCACAGACTGCTTAAAAAAGCTGTCTGCACTTCCAGTCTCTACTCCCTTCCCTCCCCATTATCCCTTAGCACAGGAGCTGGCCTTCTGACCCCACTAGGCCATCGGGACTGCCCTCACCAAGGCATCCACAAAACACAGCAAATGCCTCTCTGGGCTTATCTTACTTGGTCTCTGAACAGTATTTGACATGGATGATCTCTTTCCTCTGGAAATACTCTCAGTTTCTTGCTCCTAGGAAACTACACTCTCCGATCTTCTGTCTCTTGGACCACTTCCCTCCTCCCTTTTCATGCTTCGTGTTTTTTATCCTTTTACTTGTCAATTATTTTTTGGTTTTACATGACAAAATTCAGGTTTGTTGTAATAAGTCAAGCCGTACAGAAGCTTCTAAGAAAAAGCTCTTCCGCCCTCCACTTTTAAAGGTAACCAGTATTAAACTGTGTATGGAGCTTCAAACAGCTTTCTCTATGCTCATAAGCACATATACACATACACACACTTGCATATAAATAGCTCTTTAACCTTCTGTTTTGTTTTCCTTAATGGAATTGTATTATACATATCAATCTACCAACTGCTTCCTAAATAGCCACATAATATTCCATGGCATGGATTTTTTTTTTTTTTTAACCATTCCCCTAGCAACATTCCGGTTGTTTGTAGTTCTTAGCCATTTGATAGTATTACACTAAATATGCTCATATAAAGGATATATATGTATTATACTTCCAAATTGGTAACAAAAACTGAGCTTGTTAAATCAAAGGTTATGAACATTTTACATTTTAATAGTTTGAGATTATTTTTCTAAAATTTTACAGCACTTTACATTTGGACTCCTGAACTTGCATCAGTAGGAGAGAGCACCTGTTTCTGCTCATCCTGAATAACCTGATAACACCAGCTGTGGTCATTCTGCAGTTTAATGTTGGCGGTCTGACTGCTGGAAAATGGGGCCTCAGTTGAGATTCAATGACTAAAGCTGAGCAACTTTTTACTTGCTTACTGGTCATCTGTTCTGTCACTTCTCTGATCAAATCCTTTGCCCTAAAGCCTCTTGGACTTTCCTTGTTGTTGCTGTTTACTGGGCTTATTAACCCTGGTCTATCACATGTGTTATAAATATTTTCTCTCAGTCCAGCTTTTGGCTTTTTACTTTGTTTGGGGACTCTTCTGACAGCACAGAAAATTTAGATTTCTATAAACTTAAATCTGGTCAATAACTCTGAGGTTATTTACTTCCCTAGCATTTCATCTAACATTTTATTTTTACATGTAGATTTGTAATGCCACTGGAATGTGTTTTAGATAGTATGATTTAGGGAGTATATAAGAGGAGGACCTTAGCACAGTGCCTGGAACACAGAAACCACTCCATGTTTGCTGAATGAATACAACAGTAAACAAATTAATGCTAATTTCTAACCTTTATTCTCCACACCTAGTGCTTTTCAGGAACTGGCTTTACAAAAGTTGCTTCAGCAGTGGTATCTGGAAACAGTACTGACTCCTTGCTCCTGCCCCCATAATACACCAACGTCCCTAGAACCATTGGTTTCAAAAGGAGAGTAAAGATTGGGAATCCGAGTTCAGTTATCATTTCTTGCTCTTTGACAGATGATTAAGTATTCAACGTTGAATGCTCCTTTCTGTAAAATGAGGATGGAAATTTTAAAAATTACTTAGGTCTCAACAAATAGAAACTATGTAATTCTATTTTTTTTTTTAATTTATTTATTTGACAGAGACAGCGACAGAGGGAACACAAGCAGGGGGCGTGGGAGAGGGAGAAGCAGGCTCCTCGCTGAGCAGGGAGGGGGCTCAATGTGGGGCTCGACCCCAGGACCCTGGGATCATGACCTGAGCCAAAGGCAGTCGCTTAACAACTGAGCCACCCAGGCGCCCCGAAACTATGTAATTCTATAACACAACTCTAAAACTCATAAAATATCTAAAACTAAGGTGGAAGCTGAGTTTGAAAATATTCACATTCAGAGAGACAAATTCATTTGATGATCTAAGTATAGAAGTAGTTCTCTTTAGTGTTAGATTGGTCATCTTAAAGTAAAATAATGAAAAAAGAACCAACATTGATTTTCAGACACCTTCCCCCAGTGATTGAGTTTCCTTGTTAAAGGTCAAGGCGCTGACCACAAGTCACAAAACCTGGTTAAAAACAAAAACAAGGGGCACCTGGGTGGCTCAGTCAGTTAAGTGGCTGCCTTCGGCTCAGGTCATGATCCCAGGGTCTGGGATCGAGCCCCGCATCGGGCTCCCTGCTCGGCAGAGAGCCTGCTTCTCCCTCTCCCTCTGTCTGCCACTCTGCCTGCTTGTGCTCTCTCTCTCTCTCTCTCTCTCTCTGTTAAATAAATAAATAAAAATCTTTAAAAAAAACACACACACAAAAAAAAACACTGCAAAAAAAACGAGAGGCCACTGGAAACCTTTTTAATTAGCAGCTTCACTCCATATACCTGGATAATTTATAATTATTTCCTTTTCCTACTTTTTAACTTCTCATTTCACTGCTATTTAAGCAAAGAACAGAAATGCTCAGAGACAGTCCTCCAAACAAATGGAATGACCCTGGTTTATATAATCAACATTTATCATCTGGCATCCTGCAAAAAGTACATGAAATATTAGTCTGAATAGGAAAACAGTTGTTTCCAGGAGTTCCTTTTATGAACTACTTTTAATATAATTTACTTGCCTTGGTGTGACACATGAGTTTCCCCTGAATTGGTATTTGATTTCTAATGGATACCTAAGTTTGACTCTGAGTGCTTAAATAAGCCCAAAGAGTTCCAAAAATACAAATCTACACAGTACTGTTTCCAGTTTCTGCAACTCTAACAGGCTTGTACATGTGTTCCTTCCCATCTGGGAGAATTATAAAAGAAGCTCTTGTACTGTGGTTCTTAGAAGCTAACATTACAGATGATTATTGTAACCACTAATGGCAACATTTGGAAAGCAGGGGGAGGTTATAGTGTAGTAGGGGACACTTAAAAATGCACAAGTATACATTTTCAAGGCTTTCTATCTGTACCATCTAAAATTGCAGAGGCTAAAATGGGGGGAAAGATGTCAAATCTGCTGAAGCAAAAAAGAGTATTGCCTCCTACCTTTACCAAAGTGTTATCAGGCGCTGATAGACATATGGCAAGGAAATAATGGCCATGATATTTTGCTGAGACTTAACAATGGATCTGGCTCAGCACTTGGCTATAGAACAGAAAGGGGTTCCTATGGCTTATAGTGAATATTCACTAGGTGGTGAGTTCCTTGCAGGCTGGGAGCTTTTCCTGTTTGTTTT